AGCATCAGCCTTGCCTTTCTCTGCAGCCTCCAATTTCAGGCTCATCTGCCGGAGCTCCTCTTCTAGCTGGGCCCCCAGCTTCACCGCCTCTTGGTTCTTGAGGAGGCACTCCCTCATTCTGGCGTCTTGCTCCGCTTTGTGGAGGCGCCATTCTTGAAGCCTCCGAGCCTGTTCGCCGAGGGCTAAGCAAGCCTGCAGAACAACAACAAAAACAGTTAAAGGCAATCACACAAAAATAATCAAAGGAGAAGATGGAGAAAACCAGGTAAACACTTACAGAGAGGGAGGAGCGGAGAATGTGGTCCTCGAGGGCCGCATCATTGTAGGCCCCGAGGGCAGCCCTATCCGTCTCAGGGGTCATACCCCTCAGGATGGCCCCCGGGTCGACAGCGCCGCTGGCCAAAGACATATCCCTCGGGAACGCGATTTGGAGGATCTCAGGCAGCGACTCCTCTGCCCCCGCCGGCGTTCCATCCGGCAGCTTCTCCACCTGCACCCCGGAGGCGGGGTGCTCATCAGCAACAATGACCGGGGGCTCCTTCTCGGCGACATCCCCCTTCTTCGGCTTCTTGGTAGCCGGGGGGGACCCCTTGGTCACTGCCTTCCTCTTACCGGCAGCGGCATCGCCCTCGGCTTTCTTAAAGAGGGCAGTGGCGGGCTTCTGGATGCCCTGTCCCGACCCCTTCGGGTCCTGTTTCTTCAAACGGGCAAGGCCCTTTACATTCACCATAGAGACGGGGATACCTGCACAAAGGAGACAAAGGGTTAGTCCGACGGGTCTAAGCGAAGGGATGATAACATCCAAGCAAAAAAAACTAAGTACAAAATTCTAAATCCCTCGGCTCCTACCTCCGGCCCCTCCGAAGGACTTGTTGAAGGGAGGGTACTTTTCATCGGACTCCCCTATGAAGCGGTACCTCCGGAACCCGAGGGTGTATTAATCCTCCTCGAGGGTGCAGTCTTTGATCGCCACGTTCTTGTTTTTCCCCTCCGGGAACTTGGCCAGCTTTAGGCCGTCTTTCTCGAGAGCGGCACTCCTGATCTTTTCGTGCCTTCGGAATCGGTCACGTAGCTCCCTCGGGAATGGGCTCTCATCCAACTTCACGTAGCACCAATGTTCCCTCCATCCTTTGTTGGAAGAAGGAGCATCGGAGAATAGTTTGAAGCGGGCAATCTGCTGCAGGTTGGCGTACCCCTCACCGTTTTCGTGCCCCCCGGCACAGATTAAAACTCTGGAAGAATAGATCCAGGCTGGGTTTCACCCCTCGGGACTTGCAGAGCTGGAGGAACCCCGCAATGTAGGAGTGGCTGTTGGGCGTGAGTTGGCAGGGGACCAAGCCAACAAACCGCAAATATTCCCGAAGGAATGGGTGCAGAGGGAACCTAAGTCCCATGGAAACCGAAAGGACGTGAATAGCAATACACCCCTCGGGCGCCCTGGACAACACGTCGTCGGGACCTGGCTCCACCACTTCGGCCGAGGGCCCCACGTGCAGCTGAGTCACGTACAGATCTGCCCTGTCGGCCTTCGACCTGATCTCGAGGGCCTCAGTGTTCAGCCAACTGTACCCCTCAGCCATGTCTACGGGCTTTCCTTGATCGACGGCCCTCTCCTTCTTCTTGGTAGCGGCCTTCTTCTTCTTCAAACCGGAAACCGCCCTCAGAGGTGTCGGATCCAACGGCCTCGAGCTACTGGCCTCCCCGGAACCCCGAGGGGGGAGAATAGCAATCGTGACCTTCGAGCTCTCATTCTGTGCTTCATCCTCCGCTGTCTGCCATGCGAGGGCTAAGTCTTCATCATCGCACTCCTGCTCGAAGCCCTCGGCTTCAACCTCCGCAATGAGTTCCTTCTGAACCTCCCGGGCCAGGGCTGCATCACCACCATCCGAGGGTTGACCACTGCTTGACTCCGCGTCGGAGATGCCTTCGTCCTCCATCGAGGGCGTCCTCGAGATATCTTGAGAATCACTCTGGGACGACATTGTGACTCTAGTTCGAGGGCTCGTACAACTAGTGTTTTCTAAATGTTCTATCTCCTAGCCTAAGGGCGCAGTACAGATAGCTAAGAGGTGAAGGGTAACCGGAGAACTGACCTTAAGAACAGAGGATTCAACCGGGGGCTGCTGTTTCTCTCTCTAGAAAAATTGGCATAGCTTCGCTAACAAGTTTTTCGCACACGGAGGAACGCCTGGCCTTGGGGTATTTATAGGTGATGAATCCGGGCTTGGGCCTGGATTCGGGCCTCCGGACGGACCGCCATCATTACACACCGCCGTTTCACCCAACCGGTGACGCCGCCCACGAACAGCCAGCCATCACACGGCCACGTATGCCCCCCCCCCAACGGCTATATCATGTCGTTACATATTCCAACGGCTATATTTCCAACGGCTATATTCTGGAAGCCCCCGGGTTTTCTACTTCACTCCACTTCATCAAGGATTGCCTCCGGGTGCACTCACCCAGAAGTGCCCCCGGGTTGTGCACACACACGCCTTCGGGATCACTCCTTCAGATCCCTAGGGCAGCATATCAGGGTACCCCTCGGGGTTTCCCCCTCAGCACTGCAAAACCGGGTAGCCCCCGGGGAGTGCCTCATTGACGGAGGGCCCATGGCACACAGGTAATGGGAGCCCCCGGGTATCTTCATCACCAACTCATCAACAAACAGTGGACCCCCCGGTAACAACTTCACTGCTGCCCTCATCTGGCAGGCCCTCGATCCCTGGATTGAGGGGCTCCCCTTCGCCACCACCAGGATAGCAACAGCAAGCCTTCGGCAAATCAACACAGGAGCCCTCAGAAGAGAGAGCCTTCGGCATTCCCGTCATTCTCCATTTTTCACCAAGGTTTGACATTTTCGATTCATCATTGGGGGAATTCGGTGCACTCTTTTTCCCTCATTAGGATTTTTTCCCAAAGGGTTTTTCCTAATGAGGTTTTTAACGAGGCATCCCCCCAAAATGAAATGAAAAGCGTCAGCCTTCGGCCCACAACAGCAACGTAACTGCTTTACTCCTTTTTCACCACTTTACAAGTGCCTCAAGGAGTGGGGGACTGGAGGACCCCTTCGGGAAAATCATTAAATTACAAAATCTGTGAAAATCCAACAAACAACAAAGCAAGCCCTCAAGTCCCGACATGTGGGTAACTGAGGGACTACCTTCGGCAGGGACATAAAAGCAACAACTCCTCACCAACTTCAGAGATCGCGACAGGACAACATCAAAGGGCAAGCACAAATTACTCCTTTTCCCTCAAGTACCTTTCGGCAAAAGGAGTGAGGGACTCCTGATGGAGTATATGGCCCGGGAACCCCCGGCCCACAGACTCCTACTACTCCAGCAAAGGCGCAACAGGCCCAGAAGGCCCAGCAGGCCCAAATCACAGCGCCCAGAGTACCAAGCAGCTCGCACTACGCGCCAGGGGTGCCTTCGGCCCCTCGGCCGAAGGCTCTAAATTCTCACAGAACGGGTTTCTCAAGCAAACTAAGAAACTGGGAGAAAACGGCGAAAATATCAGCCCTCGGCACTGTGAGCCCTCGGCACCAGGGTGCCATCGGGTGGAAGAGCCCTCGGCTACTGCTCTATGGCCGAAGGTATCTCACTCGACAAGATATCCGCCTCACATGCGTACAGATCACCGTACCCCGCACAGACGTCCCATCCAACAGCCGCATTAAATGCGGCCACATGCGGCTGCCAGCGCCAACCAGTTGAGGTGACCCCTCGGCCAATGAGCGCTTGACACGTGTCCCTGCCCGACATTTATTGCTACTATAAATAGCACCCCATTTCCCCATTTGTAACCACGCTGAATACATATCGAATATACACTCTCTCTCTTACTTGTTTGCTCTGACTTCTCTCTAAGTTATTCCCCGTAATAACCCTTCGGATATATACCCCCGAGTAGACTATCCATCACTATCCAACATACAATGATACCGTGTATTGCCGAAGTATTATCTTTTCAGGTTGGCCGAGACACTTTTTGGCTGATCAAGAGTGGAGATTACCAAATGTAATTATATGTTGGATGGAGTGGGATGATAAGGGTAGGAATTACATTACAACTATATATATACAATGAGTTGAAGTTCAGGACAATTTTTTTTTCAATTTCTAGTGTAATTTTTTTTTTCAATTTTCATATTTAGCGTTCTCCACTAATTTTAAGTCTAGTATAATTACTCTCCAAGTTTTGTCCAAATTTCTAGACTCAAGGGAATGATGAAACCCTAATCTTACAACCACGTCATGATAGATCAATACTTCTATGGTGTGATGTTCAACTTGTCTCTATGGGCGTATCTAGGGTGGTGGTAGTGGGGCAGCTCTCCCCTCATTCCCAATCCAACCCCAATTAGTTTATTCATTTTTTGTGAGAATCTGAGACGGGTAACCTGACTCTTGATTGTTAATGCACATCAATTTGAGATAGGTAGCCTAACATCAATATTTTGAGTAGTTTCCAAATTTGTCAAATTTGACCGGCACGTGAGATAATAACATGAATCGCAAATTAATCGATTAAAAAACAAAGTAGTAAAATTTTAGGGATAACCAAGAAAGGAAAGATGATAAAGTTAGAAGGGATAGAAAGAGTACTGTGCTAGAAATACCTAGGCATTGACTCGGATCGGTCTCGATTCCAGATCGAGACCGACCAGTCTCTGCAAAAATAATGGTGAAGTCCGGCTCTGGCCTGCTTAATTTCAGGCCAGGGCCGGTTCTGAGCACCCGGTCGGCTCAGTTCTAGTTCCGAATTCGATTTCGTTATTTTATTTCCCATTCTAAGGCTGAAACAAAAAAAAAAATGCTCGATCGGGACCGAAATCGAGAGCAAGACCGCCCGGTTCAATCCTCAACTCGGTGAACCGGGTACCCTACACGGATAGATAGCTTCTGTCCTAGGCCCAAAACTGGAATAAACGGACCCTTTCCAGGACAAATAATACCCGATCGGTCCTAGGTATACAATTCAGCCCCCAAAAAATCACTTCTTGGCAACCCATAATTTAAACATTTGCTACTCCGTATTAAAAAGGGGCTTAGATTGTCGGGAACCGCGATTCCATCTTCACTTCACCGGAGTTTTAGTGGGAAGATGCCTAAAAAGAACAAAAATCTGGATCCAAAATCTTTACCTGTGGGGAATCCTGTGAAGGAGAAGACGTTGAACTCATCCTCTTCGACATCGAAAAAGCTGAAACGCAGCAACGAAATCGATGAAATATTTGCCGGAAGGAAGAGGAAGACACCCGAGATAGCCGCCGAAGCGGGAGACGCGCATGTAAAGCCTAAAAAGCCTATGATTAAGAGAAAGGACAAAAAACCACTCGATGATAACAGGCCGGTATCCGGGTCAAGGCCAAAAAAGAGGACTGGCGATGGTTTCACTATTTATACGGAAGAGGAATTGGGTATCAACAAAGCTGAGGCTGGAGGTACTCGTTTTTGTCCGTTTGACTGTAACTGTTGTTTTTGAGTTCTTTTTGCTTTTATAGCGAAATTTGAATGGAAGAATATAAACCCTTTCGTTTTGTATTTACGGAAAGTTTAGGAATTTCCCCTAATGAGTCTTCAGATCCATCCCTGGAATTGCATTTTTTATTTGAATGTTTGTAAGAAATAGAGTAAAACGTGTGGAATTAATTACTACCGAACAATGGCAGCAATTTCTGTTGATCTGATTTTCGAGATCTATTTGGTAAGGCCAGCTGAAGTGCTTGCTCAATGTAAATAGTTGATGAAAGTTGTAACAAAAAAAAAGTTCATGAAAACAATGTTAGAACAAATAACCTCTACATTTCTGAAAGAAGTTAATGAATCATTAAGAATGAATCTTCAAGAAGGATTTGATAATTTGTCTTCACTGTTATATGGGTTTTAAATTTTTAACTTTTCGAAGTAGAACTCTATAGCCCCAATGTGCTTTATAATAGTATGGGCTATGGCTGGTCATATACTGATATTATGTTTACAGCCTTCTTGAATACGGAGTATATGATTCATACTGACTCATCAAGATGAACTTAGGGATGTCAAAAAAACCTGGCCCTCAATGACCCGCCCTGGCCCGAGACATTTGGGGCGGGTCTGGCCCGCCACGTCTTGCAAATGGGGCAGGTCCGCCCCGCCCGCCTATACAATGGGGCGGGTCCGGGTATTAGTATTGACCATGCCGCCCCGCCTCGACCCGCTCAATATATAAGTATATACATACTTTTTTCTTAAATTATACTACAAATATACTTCAACATACATATGTGTGTATGCAATAAATCATAAATTCTTTGATCTTATAATATATCAATATATAATTATATATATTAGATTGAGATGAACGACGGATTATCAATGTCTTATTTATATATAGCATTTTAATACATATATTCAAGTATTAATATAATTAAATAGATTAACTATTCAAGTCTAAGTGATTGTTCCTTAACTTTTGAAATTTCTAGCGTATCGTGAATTTGATTTAATATATTAATTTTTAATAATTAGATTACGGTGGGGTGGGGCGGGGCGGGGCGGATCCGGTCCGCATGGGACGGGTCATGGGTCAACAAGTTTGGACCCGTGCAGGTCACGGGGTGGGTCTGGGTCTTGCAGTAACCGCCCCGTCCCGACCCCTTGCCATGCCTAAGATGAACGATCACATGGGAAATCATATCGAAGTATCAAATCATTTGATTGATTTAAGTAGCTCATTGGTTAACTGGTTCTATACTTTTTTTATCAGAGTTCTTTTGGGCGCTTTGATGAGCTAGAAATGTCTACAGAAGACTTTATTGTATACCAATTGTACTCGCTTGAGTGAAAGCACAAAGAGCCGTCCCTCTTTTGATATACAGCAGCTTTTCACATTTTAAGCTACATGGGTTTCCTTGCTGGTCAATTAAGTATATGGCCTTTTAAGTTTAACATGACCCTATTGAACACAATTTGGTCCAAATTAGGTCTCATTTGCATTGCCATCCATATATATCATCTGCAGCATAATACTAACAGTTCTAGACCTCTAGTAGCCATCATCCTTGTACTAAAGAACCGTGGTGATGCCACATTTAGGATATGAACCAGCAGAAGAAAACCCAGCGTCAGAACAAACTTCTCACATCCTCTGCCTGGGTTGCCGAGGCTGAAGGCGGAAGACAGAATGAGCCTCTGGCTCCGCTTTAGACACATGCTATTGACGATTTTGACCATATTTCTACACTACAAAGAGCGAGGACACTCACAGTCTTCTGATTCATCGTGTACACTCCACCACTCTAAAGACCCACATTTCCCACAGGCCACTGTTAGTGGGCGTGTGTCCCGGAAAAACAGACTACAAGCCTACAACCATGTTTAGACCACCTTCTAGTCATAGTCTAATCATTATAGCTATAAATATCCTATAATGGGATTGATCTAAAGTGTTTGAATACTCACTATCATTCCATAGCAATGCAAATCCTTGCTGCTCTCTCTCACTCATTAATAGCTCTGGCTTCTCAAGAATATCGGTATGGTTCATAACTCTATCAGACATAGATGATGAGCATTTGGGGTTACATATAGGCCCCATTAATACGGTCATTTGGGGTGGAAATGCAGTGCAGCAGTGGTATGGCCACTCTAGGTTCAAAGGTTCATGTGAAAACCTAACTTTTTAAAGCACAAAGATATGTTAGAATTAGTGCAACTTTTGTTCATATAGTACGTAGTATTCCTTTTTTGTAATTTCATATGTTAGTTTTATATTATTGAAAAAGATATGTGTAGAATTGTTAACATATCAACCGATACATTTTAAAATAATTTTGAACACTCAAAACTAAGCTGCTAGATTAGCCATTGTGGAAATGGTAGGATTGGATGAAGAGTTCATATAGTAAAGGTTATTTGTAAAAGTATGACCTCTTAAATGTAGTGACTATAGTGGTAACTTTAGACTTGGACTCGGGCCGGGTGGCCTGACCCGGAACCGGCCCGGGACCGGTACTGTTCCGGCCCGGCCCGAACCGGTGGCCCGGTCAGTGACCGGTCCGGGTAGGCCTGACCCGATGGGTTTCCGGTCCGGGCTCGGGTAACCCAAAACAAGGCCCGCCCCGGCCGGGCCCGGTTCAGGCCAAATCGTTTTTTTTTTGTTTTTTCATTTGTTTGGGCTCCACCCGGGTTGGGCTTGATGTTTAGGAGGGGTTTGGGGGTTTGGGGGGGTGGGGGTGAGGGAGGGTCCGGGATGGGTAGGTAAGCTAAAAAAAAATTAACCAAACCCGAGGTCCGGCCCGGACCCGGCCCCGGTGGCTACCCGGTCTGGTCCCGGGTCCAGCTATTCAGAACCGCCAGCCCGACCGGGCCTAGACCCGGCCCGGGCCCAACCCGGCCCGAGTCCAAGTCTAGGTAACTTTAGTCATAGTAACTTGTGTTTAATTTTTACACTTAAGTAATCATAACATTATATTATAGTAACTTTTAATCATATTTTGTGAATAAGTTTTATTTCACTAATATTTATATAAAACCTTTTTTTAAAAGGACAAGTCTATTATTAATTACCATCCAACTACCATAACCATAAATACATCTAATTGTTGAGGTCTATTTCCTCAGCCCGAAGGTCCAACTCGAATAGAAGAATGGAGATGTGTGGATCGCAAGGTCAAGAATGCATTGACGATCCCACAAAAAAAAAATCAGTCTTTTTCTTGAAACACCGTGACCTTCAACCTGTATCTGCTAAAGCAGTATGCGCTCATCAATCTGCCTATAGAAATAAATTGCGTCTATGTGTGATAGTCGAAATTTCTTGTGACCTTAGAACAGACTTTTCGTAATAAGTCTCACATGAGCACGTGAATGGTGCATTTTCAATAGCAGACTTCCTGCTGTAATTTAGAGCAACATGAGTAGCTCTGTCCAGTTTTATTGACAGCGAAGTTGCCAATTGTTTCAACAGTCACAACATGGTTTCCTAGGTATAATGGTGAGATTATAGAATAAGGATACAAACAATGTTGTTGTTATATGTCTTCTGTGTGGTGTGAATGATATTGAAAGAAATTACCTGTGTCCGGAATACTAACTCAACATGCTTTATTACTTTATAAGTAAACCTATCTTCCTCATAAAATTGAGATACATGGTCTGCTGTATCTGAGTCTGACTATGAAGTTCATCAGTCACCCATGCCGAAGCAGCCGTAATATATATTCACTACAATAAATGATAATTACAAATAATCTTACTTTTGTACAGCGCTTTGTGATAGACACAAACCTTCCTTGAAATGTTTGATCTCTGATACATCTTCATTTATAAGCAGTTTGGAAGCACACTTTGAGTTTTGTATTGAAGTTGGTTGGATACAAGCCTAACATGCAAGGGTGTGAGAAAAGCAACATATGTTCTGGGTTTAGGAAGTTATTCAGCATAAATATATTGTATGTTAAAAGAAAAGCAACATATTTTCTGCGTTTAGGACGTTAATAAAGGAAAATCAACATAAGGATAAATTTAAAAGAATAAGTGGTATGATTAGAGAAGGAAACATTTGTAAAAAATAATTATTTTAGATCGGGAATGCCAAAAGACTAGGATTCTAATATTACAGCTATAGTGGAAGAAGTTGTTAGTAGACGAAGGGCCAAGGTGACATATGGGTTGTGACATGAAGGTATGCAGTTTAGTATATGTTTTGTCACTTTGTGTGGAACAAATAAACTGATAAGCTTTTGCTCCTGCCTATGCCCCCTGCTTGTGTGTAAAGGAGATACTCATATGCAGGGGCGGAGGTAGGGGACCTGATGGAGCGGCCCACCCCAAATATGAAAATGCTTGTATACATTGTGTAAAATTTATGCGTAAAAATTTGTCCGTAAAAATTCTTCGAAAAGGCCCACCCCAGCTTTTGCTCCTGCCTATGCCCCCTGCTTGTGTGTAAAGGAGATATTCATGTGGATTCACTAATTTTAATTACTTCTTCACAAAACACAACATCTGGTTCTTGAAATTACTATTGTTTTTGCCAAACAACCTCTCAATTTAAAAAAAAATGATTGTGAAATTGACCTAAATATTGGCCACAATACCAGGTTAATCCTGAAGCACATTTGAAGCAAAAGTTGCAAAAGTCTGTATGGTTCTTCTCTGCATCAATTAATTATATAGCAGCCTGCCACCCTCTCCTTCTAGGCATGGACCGGTTCCGGTTTTGGTTCGGGCCCGGTTCGGGCCTGGGCCCGGCCGGGCCTCGGTTCAAGAAGGGGAGGCCCGGAACCGGCCCGGGTAACCCCCGGGTTCGGGCCTCGGTTCTATTTTTTTTTTTTTGGCTTTTCCTAGTTAACCCCCAACCCTCCCCCTCACCCCCAAACCAATCCTAACCACCTCAAATGGTCCAAAATACCCAACCCAAAAACTTAAAAAAAAATTCAAAAAAAAAAAAAAAAAAATTGGCCCGGCCCGGGCCTGAACCGGCTGGGCCGGTTCACCTTTTGAAGGGCCCGAGCCCGAACCGCCATCCCACTGGGCCGGTTGGACTGAACCGGGCCCGGAACCGGTTCACTGGGCCGGGCCCGCACAGTAGTGGGCCGGTCCGGTTCCGGGCCGGTTGGCCCGGCCCGAGTCCACCCCTATCTCCGTCTGCTACTACTGTACGTCCTTTTCTTCCTCATTAAGTTAAGCCTCTGCATCACAACTGTCAATCTTTGATGCATAGGAGGTTCTGAACTTAGCTTGTGCCTTATCAGTCCTATTTTCTGAAGATCTATTATAAGCTGTTCACTCTTCGCCTGATCATCAT